TCATTGTATCCATTTTTGCCTTGTTTATGCTGAGGTTAGGTTATGTTGTTATATTTATACAGGTCCATGACTGAGTGAAGCACTTTTGATCACATGAAACACTCTCTTTGTCCTTGTTAATCCTTTTCAAATGTAATTTGGGGGAATACAGATATTCCAGCCACATCTGGGGAGGGGGTAATATTTCCCCCATATTTTTTCCATCCTTCCATTTCAAACAAAATTTTTAGTCTTGGTGTATCTCTCATCAATGGTATGTTGTTGGCTTTTATGGAGTTTTTAAAAGTATAATGTATCTCCTTTTGAATAGGTGACTATAAATTATTTATCATGATCATATCTGAACTCGCTTGGGCCCTGGTAATTAATGCTTCGTATTTACCATGCTTTTTCTTTGCTTTTTTTCCTATGTCTTTTCTTGCTTCTTAACTTTGTTCCTTCTTTTTCCCCTCTCCTGGAAGTTAAACACTCCATTCCCAACGTTATCTTTAAATTTCTAAATAATTTATCAAACTTACATTTTCTAAGATATTCCAAAGGAAACCAGATGTGCAGACCTGCAGCCTCTGTTGCAAACCACTGTGGGGTGGGGAGGGCTGCAGCAATTTTGTTGACTCCTGTATTCGGCAATAATGACTGAAGAATCCCACTACTAAAAATCTATTATGGAAAAAGTACCCAGAAATGTAGACATTTATCACAGCACCATTTGCTAGAGGAAAAACATAGCAGCAACTTGATGTATAATAAAGGAATAAATTATGTTAATCCATGCAACTGCATATTATGCAGTCATTAAAATCACATTTTTGAAGAATTGTAATGATATGAGAAAATGCTTATGATCATAGCATCACACGAAATCCCAGGTTAGTCTCTTTGTCTCTTTTGGCTGCAGCAGGAAGGAAACAGATGCTCCACCACAATGGGAGTTTTGAGAGAGGCCAGGTATGCAGCTCTGTGAGCAGCAGGGAAGGACAGATTACCCAGAGATGCAGACATACCCATAAGAAGGGCTAGGACCGACCACACCCAGTGTGGGGGAGGAACGAGAACCATCGCCAGCCAGTGGAAATGTAAGCTGGAGAAGGTGCTTTGGAAAATCGTTTGTCACAATCTATTGGAGGGAAGGATGCACGCCCTATGACTCTGCAATCCTGCTTGTAGGGGAGAGAAAAGCACAGAACTGGGGCACATGTCCACCGAGAGGCACGCAGATATTCAGAGGGGCATTGCTTATAATGGTCTCAAACTGGACACAATCCAAATGTCCATGAGGAGTAGAAGGGACAAATTGCAATCTACTCATGTGATGGAAAACTTTACAGCAATGGAAAAGAAGAAACCACACTTAATACCACACAGATATTCCCACAAACAGAAAGTGGAAGCCGGGCGCAGTGGCTCACGCCTGTCGTCCCAGCACTTTGGGAGGCCGAGGAGGGCGGATCACGAGGTCAGGAGATCGAGACCATCCTGGCTAACACGGTGAAACCCCATCTCTACTAAAAATACAAAAAATTAGCTGGGCGTGGTGGCAGGCACCTGTGGTCTTAGCTACTTGGGAGGCTGAGGCAGGAGAATGGCGTGAACCCAGGAGGCAGAGCTTGCAGTGAGCCGGGATCGAGCGACTGCACTCCAGCCTGGGCGACAGAGCGAGACTCCGTCTCAAAAAACAAAAACAAAAACAAAAACAAACCAGAAAGTTGAGCAAGAACAGTTGTTCACAAAAGAGTATATATTGTATACTTCCATTCATATAATAAAAGTGTACAAATAAGCAGAACTAAAGGATGGTTTGGAAGTCAGCGGCATGTCATGCTTGGGAAAGGGGAGCACACAGGGAGCTCCAAGGTGGGCCATATTCTATTTCTTGACCACGGTTGTGGTTACATGGTGCCATGAGTCCATTCTCACGCTGGTAATAAAGACATACCTGAGACTGGGTAATTTATAAAGAAGAGAGGTTTAACAGACTCACCGTTCCACGTAGCTGGGGCGGTCTTACCATCACGGTGGAAGGCAAGGAGGCACAACATCTTGTCTCACATGGATGGCGGCAGGAGAGAATGAGAGTCAAGCGAAAGGGGTTTCCCCTTATAAAACCATCAGATCTCGTGAGACTGATTCCCTACACGAGAACAGTATGGGGGAAACCGCCCCCATGATTCAATTATCTCCCACCAGGTCCCTTCCACCATACATGGGACTTACAGGAGCTACAATTCAAGATGAGAACTGGGTGGGGACACACCCAAACCATATCACATGGGGTGTCTGCTTTGGGATGATTCTCCGAGACCTAGGTTTGTGTTGTGTCTGCTGCTTCACAGCTTAAATGTAAAAACAGCAACAACGAAATATCACTGCAAAATATTCAGAAAAAAATACAGACTAAAAGAGAGAGGGTATTTGTTTTCTACTGCTACGTAACAGATGATCACAGACACAGCCCAAGGTCACGCAGCCAGCCCTGGTGCAGGCAGATGGCTGGTGAATGTTGTTTCATTTCTGTGACTATTGGTGATGTGAACTTCTTATCGGTCACTTGCACCACTTTTGTGAACTGCCCATTTTCTGCGCTGTGCCCATTTTTATCGATTTCCAGGATCTCCGTGTGCTGAGGAATCTGAATCTGCCTTGCCTAGGTGAACCGGCGTGTCGTTCACATTTGTCTTTGGTGACAGAGGCTGGGTCTTAGTGGTCCCTGCCATTTGCTTTGGTAGCATGTACTACAGATATATATTATTAGTCTTTTTCTATCTTGTTTTTGCCCCTGGCATCATGCTCAGAAAGCCTTTTACCATTGCCAATAACAAAAATAGCCATGCGTTTTTGAGTATTTGGGGGTGATTTTTATATTTACATCCACTTATCTGGAAGTTGAATATAATTTTTTTTTTCCTAAAATAATCATCAGGTCGGGCGCGATGGCTCACACCTATAATCCTAGCACTTTGGGAGGCCGAGGCAGGCAGATCATTTGAGGTCAGGAGTTCAAGACCAGCCTGACCAACATGGTGAAACCACACCTCTACTAAAATACCAAAAAAATTAGCCGGGTGTCATGGTGGGCACCTGTAATCCCAGCTGTTCAGGAGGCTGAGGCATGAGAATCACTTGCACCCAGGAGGCAGAGGTTGCAGTGAGCTGAGATCACGCTACTGCACTCCAGCCTGGGCCACAGAGCAAGACCCTGTCTCAAGAAATAAAAAAGTAAGAATAACCATCCTCATCTTGTCAACAAAATGGACTCTGGCTGGGTGGCTCACACAGGACCACGTAAGTGGCCGTGTGCGCTCCTGGGTGGAGGCCATCCTGTGCTGAGGACCCTCCACGCCAAGGAGCGGCAGGGTGGGTGTGGAAAGGCCTCACAGCTGAGTGGGGCCCAGCCCAAGCAGCCCGCAGCCCCGCAGGACTAAGTGCAGCACCAGAGGGAAGCCAAGGGGCTGGAGCTGAGAGAGGAGAGGAACAGTGGGCAGGGGCCGGGGAGGCCCACACCCCCAGGGGTCTGAGTCTCTGGCGAACTCCACAGGACTGCGGCCCTGAGGGCAGATCACTGGGGTCGCAGGGCAGACAAGCAGCCTCCAGCTCTGGAGGACGGCAGGGAGGCTGGTGTGCTGCAGCTTGGGATGGCACCTGTCATTCTGCAGCCTGTCCCCATGTCCTCAGTGGAGCAGGTCTGCTCAAACACAGACGGGATTCCTCCCGTTTCCATTCATCAGTGACAATGCACAGAAGCGTCCCACCTGCTAGTTCTTCCAAAAGCACAAACCACAGACTTCCCCTCTCTGACTCCCCAGGACCCCAACGCTCCCCAACGTGCCTGACCTTGCCAAGGGCACAGCAGTGGTGCCAGCAGGCCGAGCCTGTCCCCGGGACCTTGCCAAGGGCACAGCAGTGGTGCCAGCAGGCCGAGCCTGTCCCCGGGACCGGGCAGCGTGAGGTGCACGGGACAGCAGCCACCACAGGTCAGGGACTGATCTCAGGGCCGCTGGGCCCAGGCTACCTGCAGGAGCAGAGTGAGCATAGGCTGTGAAGACCCCAAGCTGGGCCCAAGGAGCCAACTGCTGAGCTGCGAGCTCCGGGGAAACGGGAAGGCAAATGGCAGCTGCGGGGCTGGGACCTGGAGTCAGGAGCTGAACGTCTGGTGGCTGCTGGGGACAGCCAGTCTCCGTCCTGTAGCCCACAACCCTGCAGACCACAGTCAGGCATCAGTGAGGTCAGCCCACGTGCCGGGCCACCGGGCCCAGGAAGGCAGCCACGCCTGGCTCAGCTCCGCACTGGGTTGCCACGGAGAGAGGGGAAGGCACTGCTCCCACTTTGTGGAGCCACCAGCCCACCCGTGGGGATGGGAGCGCACCCCACACCCAGGCAGTGGAAAGCCAAGTGCTGCCAAGGGAGGGTCCTGAGGGTGGAGCACCCAGGGGGGTGTGGGGTACCCGAGGGTAGGGACACAGACGGGGGTACTCAGAGGGGTGTGGCGCACCTGCAAAGCTGCCCTGAGAAACTGAGGCCCTTTGAAGGGCAAGGAGGGCATTTCAGTGTGTGGTGGGGGCGAGGCAAGCGTATCCCAGGAGAGAGGGGGTAGACCCCAGACCCTGGTGCCTCCCTTGGAACAGCCCTTTTCATGGCAGGTGCTTGACAGACGTGGCCCAAGGGGAAGTCCCTTGTGCAGGAGCCTGGCAGGGGCCAGCCTGGACCCCACACTCCCATGTTCAAGCCAGTGCAGAGCTGGGCTTCGGGGATCAGACCGGTGCCTGAGTCTTGCCCCATCCGGGCAAGTGGCATCCCTGCACCACCTGTGCAGCTGTAACCCCATCTCCCCAAGAGGTCCTGTGGGTGGCAGCGAGACCACAGGTGCTGCTGTGCCCACGCTGGTGTGTTGTAATGGCACCACCTGGTACGCTGCAATGGCCCTGAGTTCAGACTCTTGGCAGGGCTGGGCCAGGGTGCCCCGTCCTCGATGGGCAAATCCTCGAATCACAGGCCAAGGCCGCGGCTTTCTCACTGATCTTTATTCCGTGTTTTTAGCACGTCACATCCAGACAGCACACCCCGAACATTCCAGATGGATCTGCTCAGACTCAAGGCCCGTGGCCAACACCCCTCGCATTCAGTCTTGGCGTTTACATGTATGTGGAGATGAAACGCACACAGGGCTGAACTCCGTGGAGCATCCTATTCAAAACATAAACCACCTCAAGAAGCAGGTGAGTTGTGTCCGCAACCTTCTGGCCACACGGCATGATCCAAGCTAGAGAAGGGGATTCTCCCAGGGCTGATCTCGGCAAAGCGACCCGGGGCTTCCTGTACATGGCCATGGGGGTGGCTCTTCTTGTGACGGAATCCCCTCCCCATCTAGAAAAGGAGGCGGCAGGAGGAGGAGGCATGGCTGGTCTGAGGAACCCCTGACCCTGGGGTGGGGACAGACAAGGCAGGCGTAAGGCGTGCCTGCATCTGATCTGAAGCAAGCCCATCCCTTTGCTGGTTTGGGAGCATCTGACGTTTGCACAGCATTTTGTGCTAATTTCCATGCTGTGTGTAATGACCCTGGATTTTTAAAACAGAAGCAGAAACACACACATCACTTATGCCTGTACGTCCCACAGTCTCCAGCAGTGTCCCAGGGCCTGGGAGAGGACACGGCTGCTCCTGAGGGACAGAGAGTCTGAGAAGTCGGTCGCCAGTGGGTCGCTGAGGACATGAGCCTGTCCTGGGATCAGAGAGGCTGTGGCTGTGGCCCTGCCCACATTCCAGGGGCCATGCGGCCTGTGACACACTGAGGGAATACTGGGAAGCCAGTCCCAAGGCCGCTGGAGCCACAGACACAGCCCTAGCAGAGCGCTGGGCAGGGGCCGGGTCTGCGCCCTTCCACACTTAGAGCCCCAAGGAACCAGTCCATAGCGGAACCAGTACAGGGCAGAACCGGTCCAGGGCAGAACCGGTCCAGGGAAGAACCGGTATACAGCGGGAACCGGTCCACAGTGGGAACCAGTCACACCTCCCCCACCCCTGGCAGATCTGGACAAGGATAGCAAGCCTGGGGAGCCTCCAAAAGCTCATTCCACTTCCAGGCTGTGGTGAGAAGAGCACTGCGGTTCAGGGCTTTGATGACGGAGCCGCGACCCCCTACCCCGTCTGCCAGCCCAACATGGCCCAACAGCCTGGGTGGGTCTCCAGGGGCTCTGTCTGAGGCCAGCCCCTACATGCATGGTGGGGCCACTTGGCCCTGGACCTCAGGGAGGTGGGGGGTTTTCTCTTGTAAAAGAGGTTCGAGGTGGAAAGTAAGGCGATGGCGAGGCCTCCCTTTGCTCCCAGCCTTTGGTCCCACGGCCTCCCAGGCACTTGGCGGGTTCGCGGGTCAGACTCCAGCCTTCAGCTTCCCAGCCACATGTAAACCAAGCAAGCAGGAAAACACACGGAGGGAAAGGGCCAGCAGCGGTGAAATATGGCTGCGAGGGGATCTCACAGCACAGAGACCCCGGGGCAGTGCAATGTCTCGGTCTAGATTTTGTCTACATTTTATTCTTTCACTCAACAGAATAGCAGTTTTGCATTTCAGAGTAGGTATGAGATGGCCACTGCCTTGTTCCGGCCCTGGAGACAGCGGGCCTCCCGAGAGGGTCGGCCTCCGAGGCTGCCCCGGACTGGGAGCTACGGGAGGCAGTCATTTGGCAAGGACACTGCAGGGAAAGGGCGAGGGGACCCCTGACCTGCCTCTGGCCGCCGAAGCCGGGGCCCTCCTCTGGCTCTCTTTGGTATCCCAGAAAACAGAGGCTGTCCCTGTCCTTGTCCGCCCTAGACCAAGCCTGGGGCCCGTCCTCGCCAGCTCCCCTGGAGGGTGCGGCCACCTTGCAAGGCCTTCTGGCAGCCCAGGACCAGCTCACAGGGGCCTACCAGCGGCCGGGCAGGTGGGGCGCGCGCCTGGGGCAGTGTGGCCAGCTGCAGGTGGGCCCAGCCTCACTTCTTATAGTGATTAGGGGCGTCGGCGAAGGCAAACTTGAGGCGGTAGGCCTCGGCCAGCAACAGGCTGATGTCCTCGTCATCCCAGTGGGCGGTGGGCAGGTTCTGGAGAAAAAGCAGCAGCTCCTGGGGAGAAAGAGACAAGCCCAGGTGAGAGGAGGTGACCCACAGTGGAGGGCGGGTGACCCCAGAAAACTGGAGAGAAAGACACAAGCCCAGGTCAGAGGAGGTGACCCACAGTGGAGGGCAGGTGACCCAGGAAAACTCGCCCAGCCAGCAGCTGCTCCCTGCTCAAGCCCAGCAGGGCCCCAGGCCTCATCCCACAGCCCCCGCCCCATCCCAGCAGCCAGGCGGGAGGCCCACTGCGCAGCTCCAGGTCTGACATCTGAGATGTCGTGACAGGGGCTGCCCAGCGCTTCACTTAACTGAATCTCCTGCCCCTCACGGGGAGACCCAGCTCTCGGGGCCCTGTTGCAGCTTTGCAGTCTCCGCCCAGAGGCTTCCCACTCCCCTAAAGCCTGTATCAGCCCAGGAAGTACCGCAGCACCCCTGGAACTGTCACTAAGCACAGACTTCTGTGCATCAGGAGACCCCTCTGGGCAGCAGCACAGTCAGCAGGTGAAGCCCACACATGTGGGGACCACGGAATGGAGCCAGCTCAGGCCCACCCCGGGAGCCCAGGAACACAGCAAAGCCCCACCCCGCCCCTCCTCCATGCCTGCCTCGCACCAGCGGGTGGAGGTGCGGGTCTCCACCAAACCCAGCTTCAGGTCCAGGTCCAACCTGGGGCCCTGGGACGATGACTCCACCCTGAGGCCCAGCTTCCTCCTCTGCAAAATGGGGCCACCATTGCCAGCCTGTCAGGGCTGCTGGACAGACTGGGAAAACACTCACACAGCCAGCAGCACAGCCAGCACTGGGTGGGCACACACTGGGTTCACTGGGCATGCTGGGCGGGCACACCGGACTCACTGGGCAGGAGCACTGGGCTCACTGGGTAGGCACACCAGGCTCACTGGGTGGGCACACTGGCCTCACTGGGAGTGCTGGGTAGGCACACTGGGCCTATGAGGCTCACTGGGCAGGTTCACTGGGCTCACCAGGCACACTGGGCAGGTGCATTTCGTGCACTGGGAGTGCTGGGCGGGCTCCTCTGGCCTGCAGCTGGGCCGTGTCTCAGCTCAGGTGGGCTATGGGGGCACTGAGTCCCACCCCCAAAAGACACACGGGGCACTGTCTCCAGAGCTCATCTGGAAGCCTGTGGACACTGGGAGATGGAGACTGACCTATGTCCACTGAGGCCAGGACGGGGAAGGAAAAGCACAGGTCCTTGGGGAACCCCCTCCACGATCACCGCCCGACAGCCCTGCCTCCCACATGACCACGCCCACATCCACAGCAGCTGGCGGCCCACCAAGGACAGGGCAGGTCTCGGGGGACCCCAACACACAGGGGGCTTGGCAGAAGTAGGGATCAGAGAGGGCTGAGTGGCCAGGACAGCCTCCTGGGGTGGGGGTTCTCAGAAGAGAAACGGGACCATCGGGTCAGGGCCAGCCCAAGCCCAGGCTCCGCATGAAGCTGGCAGATTCCCTGAGGGAGGGGTCTACACTTCTCGGATGGCCCTGCAGGCTCTGGTCCTTGATAATTTGCCCCCGGGGGCCACCTGCAGGCTCCCCGGCTTCTCCTACCTCCCACCCAAACGGAAGCCAGATCCTGGAAGTCAGGAAGGCGGCTGAGGAGCCCTGAGGGTGCTGGAGGGTGCTGGAACTGCCCTTCCCCAGATCCTAGCAGGTGACAAGGGACAGGGAGGGCCACAGGCTCAGGATGCCCATGTCACCTGCCTCGAGAAAACACAGTCCAGCAAGGCTGGCATGGAGGGGAATGGGGGGGTAGCTGGGCTCTGCAGTTCACATCCTGTCTCCTTGTCCAGGAGGTCTTGGGCAGGGGGCCTGGCTCTCCAAGCCACACTCTTCTTCATCTGGAGATAAGGATGGCAAGCTCTCTACATGGGCACAGCCAGGATAAGCTGAGCTGAGCTGTGCAGGTACCAAGCCTGGAAGATGACCCAGGCTTACATCCTGGCTGTGCCGGAGGCTGTGGTCTGTGTGTCACCAGCCCCACCCTCACTGAGGCAGGCCCCTTGACCATCCCGGAGCCACACTCTCCATTCCCGAATCAGGAGGGTTACACACCAGGACTGTCCTCTCTCCATTCCTACATCAGGAGGGTTACATACCAGGACCATCCCGTCTCCGTTCCCGCATCAGGAGGGTTACACACCAGGACTGTCCTCTCTCCAGCCCTGAATCAGGAGGGTTACACACGAGGACCGTCCCCTCTCCGTTCCCACATCAGGAGGGTTACACACCAGGACTGTCCTCTAATTGCTATTTCGCAGTTGCTGGGCTTCCACCCCCACTTCCTCAATTCCATTTCCTTTTGCATTTTGGATACTTTCAGTGGGCCTTTAAATTGAATTCAGGGAGCAAATTTCACTGGCTAAAAGTCCCCGGGGACATATCAACATCAATCTGCTGTCTTTCACCATTAGATGCAACTTACACGACACCAATCCAATTCTGAGCAGGTCATAAATAAATACCTTTGGTTTTATTTTTAATCCACTTCGCTTCATATTATCATGACCTCGCTCCTTGCAAGGTGAGAAGCAGTACCCTCCCATTATGGTAACTCACCAACTCTACTGCACACTCAATTTCAGAACCTAATTTAGTCCCCCAGGTTCACTGGATGGAGGGAGAATAGAAATGCCCAGTTCTTCGTAGCCTGCAATGCTAAAGAAGGAAAAATCTATCTGGGTGACCTTTACGGGAGGTGAAGAACATAGCCAAACATGTCCTTAAATACAGATTTCTTTTTGAAAAAGGCTTGTCTTATTTATGCGCTAGGCCAAGCTGTCTCCTGTCTGGGAAACACGGCACATTTATTAGCCAAGAGCTGTTCTGCATCGCCCACACCAGGCAGGCGGAGGGGCCACGACGGGCGAAGCCATCCCTCGGTCACATTCAGGGACATGGCTCTCCCAGCAATGACGATGCTGCCTGTCCAGGAGGGCAGGTGGTGAGAGGCCTGCCCAGGGCCCGGCCCAGAAAACTGTAGACAGCACTTGCGTTTTTATTCTTAACTTTTCCATAAACAATTAAGGGCCACATTTGTGGATCTAAAAGTTAAAGGAAGGCTCAGCTCATGACACTGGTGCTGTAGAAGTCAAGGTCTCCTCAGGTCTCTGTAATCCATTCCCTACCCCGGTCCCTGGGGCACCCACTATCTCAACAAAGCCATAGCTGGAGGGCAGCGTGGAGTGCACCCCTCCTTTCTCCATCACCCCGTGTCCCGAGAATCCTTCCAGCGGACATCGAATGTCTGCGGGGCCCTTTGTAAAGGCTGTGGGGTCTATGGGCAGTGAGGGATCAAAAGCAACAACTCGCTGCATGGCCTGGAGGCTGACGGTTCTCAGGCCTGACCACACGTCCATCAGCACCCAAGGAGCTTGAAAAAGCGCCCCATTGTCCTGGCCCCAACCCAAGCAACTGACCTGGACCTGGGAGGTGGGGCCTGGGGAGGGGGATGCCTTGATCCTCAGGATGGTGGGCGACCTGGGTGTGCCCTGGACACTCTCAGACACATCATGAGAGTGGATAGAGTTGTCCACGCTTTCCGCCAGGTGGCCACTGTTGACGTCGAGGGTTGGGGGGGCCCTGCCCACACCACCCAGGCAGAAGTGGAGCCCTGACTCACACCACCATGCAGGCAAAGGCATCTCTCTAAAACCTCAGTGAGTGGGACACAGGGTGGAGGTGGGAAGCCAAGCTGGGATGTTTCCAACCGTTTTCCCCCATGGACCATACAGCAGTGGACGGCACTTAGAAGCCGCCATGCCACTCACTCCTGCCCGGCGGGTTCCAACAGGTGAGGCTCCCGATGCCAGAGACCAGGTGAGGCCTCCTGATGCCGAACAGCAGATATCGCCATGGCTTTGGCTACTTCTTACCAGAAGGGTTGTATTTTTCCAGAGTCAAACGAATCCTAGTGCCATCCGTGGAGGACGCTGACCTCCCCCGTGTGCCAGGCCTTCCCAGGAAGGGTGAGACGGTGACACGCCCATGTTCTAAGGCCTCAGGCTCCAGAACAGGGGTGGGTGGGTGACTGCAGACCCTGGGCTGCCTCAAGACGCTGAGCTCCGTGCAGCTGGCCCAGGGCTGAGGCTCACGTGAGAATGGGCAGCAGTGAGGGAAGCAAGATCACTGGACCAGATGCGGGAGTGCTGGGCTGGCGCCCGCCCCCACTGCCGCCTGACCCCATGAGTACCGCAGATGTGTCCCTGCTGTTCTCCCCAGCGTCTCCACCACTCCACCAACAGGTCTGTGTGTCCCTGTGTCCCAAAAACTGAGCCCACAGCGCATGCTGGGCAGTGAACGTCACAGAGTCCAATGAAGCAATTAAGAGCATGTTTGCCGGTGCCCCACAGCCACATTCAAATCCCAGTCCTGCGTTTATTAGCTACGCGACCCTGGGCAAGTCTCATAACCCTCAGTGCCTGAGTTTCCTCATCTGTAAAACAGGATAATAACAGTGATAGCGACAGGAGACAGACAAGTTCCTAGACAGACACGGACCGGTCCCCGGTGAAACCTGACCTTCAAGCCAAGGACACTTTAGAGCCTGAACACCAAACTGCCAGTTCTGGATAGAGTCCATGACTAGAGTGAGAACTTCCATCCGTCTTACCCGCCCTCTTTCAATTGGTTCCTTCTGAATGATGTCCTTTATCTAATCAAATGGTGCTTCTTCCAAGCCCACCCACGGACCAATCAGCATGCACTCCCCCATTCGAAGCCCATAAAAGCCCTGGACTCACACTCACAGATGGCTACCCCGCCTTCAGGTCCCTTCTTGCAGCTAAGAGCTTTCTTTCTGTTGCTCAGTAAAATTCTACTCTGCCTTGGTCAGGAGTTCGAGACCAGTCTGGCCAACATAGTGAAACCCCGTCTCTACTGAAAATACAAAAAATTAGCCAGGTGTGGTGGTATGCACCTGTAATACCAGCTACTTGGCAAAGCTGAGGCAGGAGAATCGCATGAACCTGGGAGGTGGAGGTTGCAGTG